TTGCCGAGCCACAGCAACAACAACAACACCAGAAACAGCAGCAGCAACAACAACTACAACAGCAGCAACACTCAAGAATCATCATCCAACGGTCACACCCACCAACATGGACCATCGGATCACCGCGCCAATCAGAACCACCGGAACCAGCAACGCAGCCAGCAGCAACATAAATCTGGACAAAAGGATCAACGACGAGATTTTTGCCCGGAGAAACGCAATTGCCAGTACCTTGGAAAATGCCATCACTTCATCGCAATGAACCCAAAGGACAGATTACAGCATGCCAGGGACCTACAACTATGTTTCAACTGCCTCAGCCCCCACAAGTTCGCCGACTGTCAATCAACGCAAACCTGCCGGACGGACGGATGCAGTAAGAAACACCACACACTTCTGCACAACAGCAGCACCTACAACTCGACGACACAAAGGGAGACAGCCAACCGGAACTCCAGACAACATGACGACACCACCAACTGCAGCACCAGCATAAACAGAAGGAAATCGACTCGCCACATTCCGACCCTGCCAATAACGATCTCTCATGGCAAACATACAGTTCATGCCTATGCAATGCTTGATTGTGGAAGCAAACTGACATTGCTTAAATCATCAATCGCCCTCCAACTCAAACCAGATCTGCAGTTAGACGACACCATCCAGCTAAACCAAGCACTGACATCATCAGACACAGCTTCTACAAAGATGACGATTGCGATTGGACCCTACAACCAGCAAAAGCAGCCATTTCAACTAAATGACATCGACGTCATAATGGATTGGAACCTTTCCCAATTCAACCCTGAACTCGTCAACTCCATCTGCCAAAGAAACGAGCCTCTTCAACACATTCGGATAGCCACACTGCCCTCGAAAGAAATCGGAATCATCATTGGATGCGATTTCGCCGAACTCGTGACACCTTCAGAAGTAATCCATTCAAAACAAAATGTGCCTATTGGATGGAAAACGCCACTTGGATGGTCTCTCTGTGGACGAGACAATGCAGCGACACCCAACGACATCAACACAATCAACTTCACGACAGACGATAAACTCTTTCGCCACGTAGCTGAATGGATGAAATTGGACGCCGAAGGGATTTCAACTGACCAACGCAGCCTCTCAACAGACGACAAGGAAGCTCTCCGCATCTTGGAATCTTCAACAACTCGCTTGCCCAATGGACACTACGAAATTGGAATGCTTTGGAAACGTGGACAACAACTGCCAAACAATAGATGGCTTGCCAAGAAGCAGCTCGACAGCCTTCTCCGACGACTGAAGAGAAACACCGAGATGGCACAGAAATATCAGGAGACCATCGACACCGACTTGCAGAAAGGTTTCATAGTCAAAGTTGATGATTCCCATGAAGACTCAACAGGAAAATGGTACCTTCCTCATCATCCAGTGACAAACATCAATAAACCTGGCAAGGTACGCCGAGTCCTTAATGCATCGAGCATCTACAAAGGAGTATCACTCAACAGCAACCTACTAACTGGACCAGACCTCCTCACAAACCTTACTGGAATCGTTATGCGATTTCGCGAAGACCAAATCGCTATTTCTGCCGACATTGAATCAATGTTCATGCAGGTCTTCGTGAGCCCAGAGGACCAGCCGTATTTGCGATTTCTGTGGAAGGACAACACGGGCCAACCCACAACCTTCCAATACACCCGCCACATCTTCGGAGCTACCGACTCACCATGTGTTGCCTGCTACGCCACTCGACAATGTGCGAAGGACAATGCCGACAAATATCCAGCCTTGGAGCAAATCACAAAACGCAACATATACATGGACGACCTATACAAAGCCGTTTCAACGCCGACGGAAGCGACACAGTTAATGAACGACCTTCAAAAGATGTTCAGCCTTGGAGGTTTCAACCTCACAAAATGGACCTCAAACTCTCAACAATTCCTCACAACAGTTAACGAGAACCACTTGGAAAACAACGACAGCCTCACCAAGAAGGAACGACCCCTCGAAAGAGTTCTTGGAGTGAAATGGAAACCAGACACGGACGTCTTTCTTGTGGAAGCAAAGAAGTTTCACGCCATTGACAAGAAGGACTTAACGCAGCGCAAACTATTGAAGTTTGCTTCTTCAATCTTTGACCCGCTTGGAATTACGATGCCACTGACAATTCGACTACGACAATCACTTCAACTTGCCTGGAGTAATGGACCTCAATGGGACAAACCTCTAAACATGGATCATTTAACAGACCTCAACGATTGGATAGACAAGCGAAGCCAATTCAACGACATCTGCCTGCCCCGGACTTACTTCAAACCAGAAACGAAGATACTGGAAACCCAACTCCATGTATTCAGCGACGCCTCCGAACTTGCCTTAGCATCAGTTGCTTACCTCAGAATCAGATACGACGACGACACAACGGAACTCAAGTTCGTCATTGGAAAAGCCCGAGTAGCACCCATCAGCAGAATGACAATTCCAAATCTCGAGCTTCAAGCCGCCACTAACGGAGCTAAACTGTCTCGTTTCATCAAAGAACAACATGACATAAGAATCGACAGTACGACACTATGGACAGATAGTACAACAGTTCTTCATTGGATAAACTCGCCGAATCAACGACACCGGATCTTCATTGCCAACCGCCTGAATTTCATCATGGACTCAACATCTCCTCTGGACTGGAGATACGTGCCCAGCAAAGACAACCCTGCAGACGACGGAACACGTGGTTACAAAGCATTTGACATGACTACCGATTCACGATGGATCAAAGGACCAGACTTCTTGTTAAGACCATCATCCGATTGGCCTAATCACCCGCCAACACAACCTACAGCCGATATTCATCTGACAGACAACGACCCACAACCGCCAACATCAGTAATCGACTTCAACCGATTTAGCACTTGGACAAGAGCACTCAGAGTTACTTCATATGTTCTTCTCTTCGCAGAAAACATCAAAAGGAAGACACGCCAGAGCCTCTCACTTCAACACATCACCTTAGGATTCGCATGGATCATTAAACACTCACAGAATCAATCATTCCCCAAGGAAATAGCATGCCTGACAAAGAAATCTGACATTCCACCCCGCAGCCCTCTACAACCTCTTTGCCCCTTCATCGACGATCACGGATACTTACGTGCCAAAGGACGACTACAGAAAGCCCCGCTTCTACTTTGCAGCCGACATCCAGTCATTCTGAACGCAGAAAACTACCCAATACAACTCTTCATGAAGCAAACACACGAAATAAATTCCCATTGTGGAATGGAACACACCCGAAGCATTCTTCAACAGGACTTTTGGATCATAAGATCACGCAAGCATCTGAAGAAAACTATTCGACAATGCATACCTTGCCGACGCCTTCGACAGGAACCAGTGAAGCCTCTGATGGCAGATCTACCCCTACAACGACTCCCTTTATCGGAAAACAGTTACCCCTTCTACTCAACAGGAATTGACTTCTTTGGACCCTTTGCCACGCGGAACAACGACGAGTACAGTAAGCGATACGTTCTCTTCTTCACCTGCCTCGTCACGCGAGCAGTTCATTCAGAAATATGCCAGCAAATTGACACAAACTCAACTCTACAAGCCATACGCCGTTTCATCGCTAGACGCGGTAAACCCAGGATCATCTTCTCTGACAACGGAAAAGCCTTCGTTGCAGCTGACAAGGAATTACAGGAAAGCCTTTCTGAGATTCAACACAGCAACGACTTCAACAATCAATGCCAATTACTTGGAATAACCTGGAAGTTCAACCCACCTGCAGCTCCTCACTTTGGTGGATCATGGGAACGCCTCATAAAAACATTTAAGATTGCCTTCTACAAAGTCATTGGAACACGGGCACTGGACGACGAAACTCTGTCAACCTTCACGTGCGAGGTTGAAGCTATGATGAATTCTCGCCCGCTAACCCACGTCTCATCAGACCCAACCGACGACGAGCCCCTTACACCCAATCACCTTCTACTAGGACGACCAACAAACAATTTGCCTCCCGGATTGTTTCTCCCTCGCCACACAACGGACAAGAAAACTTGGAAACAAGCTCAAGCCTTGAGTCAACAGTTCTGGAACAGATACCTCAAAGACTACTTGCCAACCTTGACGACCCGAACGAAATGGACAAAGCAAGTGGAAAATCTTCAGCAAGGAGACCTTGTATGGATACTGGAAGACCTAACGCCTCGAGGTCTTTGGCCCCTGGGACGGGTACTTCGTACTTTCCCAGGTGCAGACGGAATCGTTCGCTCCTGCGAAATTAAAACTAGCAGGGGGATTCTACACCGACCAGCAGTCAAACTCTCGCGAGTATTGGACCACAGTAACAACTAGATGACCAACATGATCAACGACAGCTAACAACTAGATGACCATTACAATCAACGACGACGTACCATCAGCTTCAACGAACAATTTTCTAATTTGCAACCTGCAAATGGGCCCGGCTATGTCTACGACATTTGAACTTTAATCTTTGCCGAACCTAATTTTACCACATTTTTGACATGATTATGCCGCCAAATTAGTAAACTGAAAGACTCAAAACTCAAAAATCAGAAAGAAATCATTTAAAAGCAACAACTAAACTACGATTTGAAATTGGAATCTGAATCACCCAAAAGTATTGCCATTGTCAACCCGTTTGCTGTTCGGTAGTGGACTTTGCCTTCCTTTTAACGAGGGAAAGGAACTGAAATAAAAAAGAAATCAAAAGTCAAACCGCGAATGAGTAAATTTGAGCCTGAAAAATTTTAAAGATTTTTCCTGAAAAAATTGCTATTGGACCTAATTATTTTAACATTATTTCCAATAAATTGTAGCAAATCTTTCCTCGATGCAGATCGATCCTATTCACGATGCCAATTACACAAACATTCACAGTCAATCAATTCATCACTGAATACACAAAGAAAACAGAGTTAAGCCAGCCAATTCAAGCTATACAGAAACTACTTACAACACTAACTATTTCAACTTACTATTTAGCAGACAGGTGCCGAAGTAGTGGAATGGTCCGGCCTCGAACTTGAGATTATCTCTTCCGACACTGATCATGGCACGCCCCTCCAGAATCATAATGAAGTATTCCGAGGGTACATTCTTCTTGTACAGCACGTGTTCCCCGTCGGCCGCATTGCTGATGTTGTCTAATCTGACCTCAAAGAGGACATTGCACTCCATCAGTTTTTTCAGCACACTCGAATGCATGAGGGCCGGACGGAAACCCTCAATTTCTAAAAAAAAAATACAGACGGATTGATATTCCTTATAATCACAAGCGGAGGAGGGAGAAACTTTTTAGGTTTAATTAAGCCTTTGCAAGGAAAAAATTTTATTTTAGAACTTCCAAGAAAAAACATATGGCCTTGAAGCTCTCTTTGACTTTCGAAAAGATTAGATGACAGCTAGGAAAGAGTAAAGAACAAGGAAACCCAAATGAAGTAGGACTTTCGAGTTTTGAAGAAAAAATATCAAAATAAAGCTCTTTGAATTTAAAAAGCGTTTTATGATTGACATTTTTTTGGATAAAATTGGCCCAATTTGAAAGCTAGATTTTTTATTCCCTTCTGAAAGTCGTTCACGTTTTGTGTGACGTTTGTTTTTCGTAGATTTTGCTCTCCTTTCAACATGAGCTGATCTTAAAAATTAAAAGTCAAATAGCGAAAAAAATTGAGAGTCAACCAAATTTTCTACTTTTACTGAAAAATCATCATCATCATCACCTATTAAAGACTTCACTACACTAATTGTCTTGAAGCAGATTCATTGAAAAATTACAGATTGAGAAACTAGCATGACTTATAGGTGCTTGATACCACATTAGCCCCCTTCTTTGCTGAACAAAATTCAAAACCAGACTTAAGAAGAATTTATACTTTCAATAGATTTCACCAAAAAGTTATCGAAAATAAATGAAGTTGTTTAAAAAAAAAGCTTTTTCTTATGCACAACTTGGTTCACACAGCTTCAAAATTGCATATTTCAAAATTGCATCTTTGCAAGCTTTATTTATAGATCCGGTCATGCACAAAAATGTAAAAAGAGATTTTTCCGAAAACTAAAACCATTTTTTCCGAAAACTAAAACCATTTTCCGAAAACTAAAACCATAACAGGGAAGACTTCCACAAGCAGGACTCTCCATTGATATCGGTTTGACAAGAAATTTTTGGGAAAGGTCAGAAAGTTTGCAAAGAAAAACTGACAAAAATTCAATTATAGCCAACAGACAGTTGGAAAAGAGCCAGCGAACGGAAGGAAACAGAACGTAGCTTCTATGTCGAAAATTTTTCCTGGAAAAAGTCTTCACATTCATCGAAAAAAGATAGCAAAAATTAATTTTCTACAAAAATTAGTGCACAGCTGCTCAGGGTGGGAGGATTCCCATAACCTGTCTTTCAATTGAACCTTCAATCTCAGATTTGGCAGGCTAGTTTCCAAAAAATCAATTCCAAAAAAAAACGAACAAAACCCAAAAATTAGAAATTTTCTGTTAAATGTGTAGTTTTTCTGTTAATTGTTTTTACTGGACTTTGCTTTTATTATCTCAGATTGAGCCGGGTAGCTTTAGCAAAAAAGTGCCTCACAAACTTCTAAAGACCCTAAAAAGTCGATTAAGGTTAAAAAAAAGTTAGCTGAGCACACAGAGGAAAAGCCGGTCTTCGAACCCAAGACCATAGGGCACTGAGACAAGCCTGTCACCTCTAGGGCAAGTTGGAAGCAGTCTCGAAGTTGCTAAAGTTCACTAATAAAGTAACTTCCATTTCAAATTCAGATGTAAGAAATATTTTACAGGAAAAAAGTCCAGTTCCCGACTATAAAACACTCGCTTTCGCAAGTGTAACAACGCAAGCGTACGATTGCAAGTTATCGAACAGAGCATGAGACAGAATAGCGGATGCAAAACTTTTTTGGGGAAAAAAGAAACAGGCGAGAAAAAGAACCACGAGCATTAAATAAACTTCTGTATTCATCAAACTGCCACTATTCCGACAAAACGTGGGTACTGCCACTATTCCGACAAAAATTGTTGGCAAAAAAGAATTCGAAAGAAAAACTCCAAGACTTTGAACGTTTACACCACAACCGACATGAATTATCTTTTTAAAACAAAAGTCCAACTAAATTTCTCAAAAAAAATTCAGGCCGAACATAACTTTTGAGCGACAAAAAAATTCAATTTTACAAAGAAATTATTCAGTGAGGGTTAGTAAACTCACAAATTGCAGGAGTAAATCAGCATCACGTGCAGCTATATGAAAATTGCTTACGGTACAAGTAAATTCCGTGATATGGCAAAGAAGCCAACAAAACATCAGCAGACAAATGAAAGTGACTTTTACGGGGAAAAAATTTCAATTTCATACCTACTGAAAAAAAAACAAGGTCAAGCTAGGATTCGAACCCCAGTCAATAGGTAGCAAAGGCAACTGCGATACTTCTGGACCAATATGACATTTAGTCTCGCAAGTTTCAAGAAAACTAATGGTACCGTTTGCTAGTCGACCACAGCATGAATTGTAATCAATTGATTGAAAGAAAGCCAAAACATGGTAAAAAAACTCAAGTAAACAAAGAGTGAATTGCTTTTCTAATAAAAATCTTTAATTTTTAACTTCAAAGAAACAATAGATGTTCTTAAAGCTCTTAGAATTTCTAGAACAATTTAGGATTGACACTTTTTGAACTAACTTGAACTAGTTTTCGAAAACTGAATGAATAAGTTTTATCTCGCTACAATCGAGTACTACCCTTTTTCTGTGAATAACTGAGCAGTGTATTGCTGTGTATTTTATTTCAATGGAAATCTGATAACTATTTTCCATTTTTGAAATTCAATCACGTTTTTCGTGACCTTTACTTTTTCGCTGTTAGATAGAAGAGTTTGCCTTCCTTTAAACAAAGTAAATCAACTGAACTTAAAAATAAACCAAAAATCAAGCTATGAAAAATTGAGCATAAAAAAATTTTACAATTTTTTCTTGAAACAAATCAGTCGCGATCTAAATAAGATTCTGAACTAAGTTCATCGACTCTTAAAGAAAAACGGACTTGTTTTTTGAACGGAAAATTAAAACTTTCCAATTTCAAAAAAAAAATATAGGTACTCAAAGCTCTTTGAATTACAAGAACAATTTATGATTGGCACTTTTTGGATTAACTTAGCTCATTCCACTGGTAAATCTCAAAATTAAATTGCATTTTCGAAACTAGAAACTGATCACGTTTTTTCGCACCATATTTCCACGTTGGTATTTGGATAGCCCGCCCAATTTGACTGCCGATGAACTTCATTTCAGCAGATGACTTCAATTTAACTCAAAAAAATGCATTTATACCTAAGTGCATTCATAGTAACAAACTGTTTAAATGTTCTCCAGTAGCTATTAGAGCATTTTAGGACTTTTCACGAAAAAAAATCTAATTCATTAACTTTTTTTCACTTCAATTACTGTAGCCCGTGATAATTGCACAGCAACCAGCCATCCTATCCCATCTATGTTCTGTATCACTGGCAAAGAGCCTTCTATATAAACCAACTGAACATGAAATTAAAGAAAACTAGAAGGATTTGAGCAGTCATATTTGGCGGTAAAATTACTAACTCCTGAGAGTACCCTGACAGAACCTCATTACAGAGATGGAAATTTCAAGTTTTGTGAAATTTTTTAAATCTAATTTTCTGAAAAATTTTGAAAAAATCCAAAAAAATGTCATATCTCGAAAACTACAAGGATTTGAGCAGCCATAATCAAAGGCAATATTCGCAACCCCTGAGAGTACCTTCACAAAATTCAAAAACAGGATTGGGTTCTTCAACTTTTTGGAATTTTTTAAAATCTAAGTTTTTGAAAAAATCATAAGAAACGTCATATCTCGAAAAGTACAAGGATTTGAGAATTGAGAATTGGAGGCAAGATTCGCAACCCCTCCGAGTACCCGGGGGGTTGCGAAACATGCAAAAACAATACGTTAAAAAAACTTAAGCATGGCGAGATAGTGAAGCCCGTATTTAAATATATAATAGATAATAGATATATAATTGATGAAAGTTAAAAATTTAGGCGACGGGTAGACAGAAATCAAATTAATTAAAAAAGCACTTATACAGACAGACCGACAGACTTAATTTGGCCTCGAAAAAAAATACTGAAAAATTCATGACCTTGCGAAAAACTAATTGAAAAATTTTCTTCAGCATTGCAATATATGCTATAGCTTAAACATGAAAAACTTCTTTCGTTAAACATGCAAAATTATTATGCTTAAACATGGGAGATAGTTGTCACTCGCATTTAAATATAGTATAGATGTAAAAAGCAAAGCAAATAAATTTTAACAAGATGTGACTTGTGCCTTGATCGAATTTCTATCTCGCAAAAATGGTCAGTATGCTCTTCTGCTTACAGTTTGAATGACTCGTTTTAGTTTTATTGCTCATCCTTCAAATAAGTGGCACAACCAAAATTCGTTTTTGGAATCAAAACTCAATGATGCTTGCTCTAATTCCAGGAACGATTAAAAATGCATGTTTTCAGTAGCAAGCACGGAATTTTAAAACGGCCGTCATATTAAACCAAGCCTCAATCAAGCTCTAAGAACCAAAAGGCAGATGCATCAGTTCTTTTTGAGCAGGATTTGTACCTTTGAAACAAATCAGACAAGGTAAAGACACTGTGCCAAGCTTTAAAATAGAAAAAGGAAAATGTCAGCTTAAAAACACGAGAACTGAAAACGTTCCTATTGTTGGTGTTTGCCTATTATTTCACATGAATAACATTGAAAAACCGTTAGTCGAAATTTACTTAAGGCATTGAGAAACATCAGCTTCGCCTTCAAAAAACGAAGAGATAGCATAGGTCCAATTAGAAACCCCGGAAATCTAAACTGCCCACGAAAATTAAAATGCCCAAATAAGGCTATCACTTAACAAATGAAAATGAAATAACGCAATTTTCAGATGGCCAATTTTAGTGTAAGGCAATGCAAAACATGCTTTTTTGACAATTAGATTTGCTCGCAAAAACTAAGCATGCAAAAAAAATCAGAGTAAGAAACATTTTTTCCCCTTATCAATTTTTTTGCGAGGTTCTGATGTATTCTACACTTCGCACCAATAAATCAACCTTTCATATCTCTGATATTTGACATATGAAGTGATTAAGCCTGACAGAATGATTTATCCTGACACCTTCATTTCCATATTCGAGCGAAATAATTTAGGCTTCACTTGGAAAGGATCGATTCGATGTAGCTAACTGATATTCAAGTGTCTATAGCAAACAACAGAAAAAATATAATCTAAGTTTGGCAATGAAAACAACTTTTAAAAACAAAAATGAAAATTTGGGGAAAATGCAGACTTTAAAACAGGCTGTCAAATCAAACTAGTCAGTCAAACTATCTCTTTATGAAAGAAGAATTTATTTCTCAATGTTAATGGTAAATATGCATATAACGAGAAGTAAAACATGAAACAGCAGAAACAGTGAAGGGACACTTAACGAACCCAATTGGGTTACAGAGCACTGCACGTTTTATCAAATGAAATAAGAAATTTGAGATCTCCAAAGAAAAGGAAAAATATATAAAAATTGAAAACATCAAAGAAAATATTGGAAAAAAATACTAAAATTTGAACAAACATAAAGCAGCAGATTTATGGCAATTTTCTAGACAGATTAATGACATAAGGTCCAAGCTCTGCATCAATATTGAAAATGATTGTTCAATCGTAGTCGCTACAAAACCAAATTAAATAAGAAAATAGTTCAAATTCATCACTCATAATTTCTTATGTGCTTCAAGCAAATGATTCAGGAATCAGAAAAAGTTCTCAGCCGTACCCCGGCCTGAAATCGATATAACCGAAGGCTGATTGCCGCGTTAACATTGAAAAGGCCCACATTGACCTTTAAAGGACTTGGGCCGAACATTGAACGCCGCATAAGTTTATTGATTCATGGGTTTTCGGTTCATTGCTACTCAGACTTATTGCACCACATTTCTCATACCTTTATTTATTTTTGTCATCTCAATTTCCCGTTTTTTAATTACAACAAAGGATAGCCGTTTGCTATGTTGTTCCGAGCAAATTGATTTAAAAAAAAAAGAAACTCAAAAAAATATCACAAAAAATTTAAAATGTAGTTTTCAATTTCTGTTGTCTATATTTCCTGATGGTGTTTTTTCTACGAAATGCTATTGAAAAGCGATAAACGCAAAACAAAAAAAAACAGCAAGACTTATATCAGAGTCTTCACTATGTTCATTACTCTTAATAAAAGCGATAACTATAGCTTAAAACATATATAGCGTTAAAATCCTACTAGATTATAAGTTGGTAGGTCAGCCTTTCATCAAATTTCGTCCAAGTTATCTGCAAACCGAGAACATTTAGCCCAGTTTTTATCAAAACAGATTTTTTTTTCGATTTTTTAGAATCCGAATTACGACCGAAAAGGTTTTAATATATAGACCACAATTGACCACCTGCGAGCTTTCCTTGAGTTAGCCAACACTGGCTGGAAAAAAAAAGAAAAAACCTTTTGTCAGAACAAAAATGAAAGCACAATTTATTTTCCTGTAACCCAAATTCTTAGCCCTGGATATACTCACATATGCACAAAGTAAAAACGCAAAATTCGCGCAAAAGGACCAAAAAGGCGTCGCTAGTACCTAAAAGACGTTTCCAACTACCGAACAGAAAAATTCGAAGAAAGAACCAAAAGGGTGTTTCAAGCTACCGAATAGAAAAAATTCGAAAAAAAACAGCTACAAAAACTTCAAAACTTAGTCTGGAATGATGTTCTATTTGAAGAAACCACGTCAAGAAACAGAACCTACGGCAAAATAATGTTCTAAAATTATTTATCGAGCGGCAGCTGAGCCAAAACAAATTGAGTAAATTCCCGTTGAGACGAATGCAAACGTGTTGCCATGAAAAACTTGCCAAGTTCTAAGAGTTTTAAATTCTAGGCCCCACCTCTGGTCTGGAAATATACGAAAGCTTACAAATCTAATTTCTCTTCAAACGACTTAAGATTAGGTCACTAATCCTACAAAATGTACGACGAAAAAATTGAGGCAACTAAGACTTGAAATAATTTTTTTAAAAAGGGATAACAAAAAGTCAGGTTCAGTCATCTTACAAATTACAGTAAAAATTTTATAACACTTTCAAAACAGAGGAGACGCTGAGCTTCGCACCACTTGCGATACAAAACAAGAAAACCGAAAAAACGACAAAAAAGCTAAATTGTCGAAATTCGAAATCTACCGATATAAAAAAAGTCTAATTTTAAAACAAAAAAAGCAAAGACAAAAAATGTGAAAAAAGCATCAATCACAAGAAAATTTACTAATAGGTTAAAAAAATCTTTATTCGCTCGTCAAATGAAAAAATATGAGACGACTGAGCAGATATAATAGAGGCCGAAACCTATCAAGCCGAAAAAAAACTAGAAAGATGAAAAAACCGAAAAAAAAACAGATCAAAAGTTATCAAGTCCCTCTCACCATCAAAATACAGACACACACATTAAAAAAGCCGATATAATTCAGCCGATACCTATCAGTAAAAAAAAACGAAGAAAAAAAATTTTAAGAAATCGAGTTGGTTAAATTAGGACCAACAAATTTCGAATAGGTCAGGCATTGAAAAAGATAACAAGAACAAATATTTCTTCAGCGGTAAATGTTTCCTACCACATTTACCGCAACTTACTAAAATTACCGCAACTTCGCTTCGCAAACACTATCGAGAACACGACAAAAAGCAGCTCTAGAAATTGCAATAAGAAAAATAGAAATAAGCCTCGAATTGGCAAAATTCGGCTAGGTCTATGATTCGATCTGCGGCCTACAGCAATCAAGAGATTTTGAGTCTCACGCACTAACCACTTAGCCACGCACGCTTAACCACCAATAAACACTAGTCACAAATAAAGCAGCTTCATGTGCTAATTAATTGCCAATGCTATTCAGCTTAAGTGGCACCAAACACAAAGTAGACACGATTTTGCAATTAATGATTTGGAATATAACAAACTGAAGCAGCCACACCAACTTTACATGTAACAAATCGCAAAGCATAAATCTGCATTATGTAAAAATTATACATTTCAAAAAACTGCGAGATAAATTGAGTTAGAAAATTTCTGCAGTCGAGTTTTTATTATTGTTATGTTGTTAGAAGCAAATAGAGTTTTTCGGTTCATTTGATGAATTCAAAATGCATCAACTGTGTTAACTTATTACTATTCGAATGTCGAAGCACGTGCTATCAAAAAACTGTGAAGGTGCCCAAAAAGTTGCACCAATATTTGTGACTTAGATTAGAAAAAAAATAAGTTTGTTAATAAGACACTAAGCTGACGCTAGTGTAATAAACAAACTAAAAAGCCGAAAAATGATTTTTTGTTAATAAACAAAATTCAAAAAAAAAATTAATGTTTATTTTGTAAATTTTATTAAGGAAGGCCTAAGACAGATATTTAGACTTTTCAAAATTTCTCGTTAGAGTTCAACCATTTCATTTAAAAACAACGACAAGAAAACAAAAAAACATGACGAAAATGAGCCGACAGAAACAAAGCCGACCGACCTCTGTGCCAAAAATCTACTGAAATATTTCGGCACCGATAAAAAATAATTTACAACTTTTAACGTTCACCCAAGGTACATATTTGTAGTTCATACAATCCAACCATGCGATTAACTAAGCTGTTATAAAATTTACCAATTGACCATTCTGTGAACAAAGTTGTTTACGGAAAAAAAATCTAGTACACCGTTGCAATACCCTTGCTTATCGCAAGGGTAATTACAATGAAAATTGCCTACAGCATAAAAAAGTGCAATCCATGAAAACGCAACTAAGGAGCCGTTCAACATAAGCAGACAAAAAAGACCGCCAAAATGAAAAAAAAATGAATTTACCTAAGAGTTTACCTATGTTGTTAGAAGCAAATAGAGTTTTTCGGTTCATTTGATGAATTCAAAATGCATCAACTGTGTTAACTTATTACTATTCGAATGTCGAAGCACGTGCTATCAAAAAACTGTGAAGGTGCCCAAAAAGTGGCACCAATATTTGTGACTTAGATTAGAAAAAGTGCAATCCATGAAAACGCAACTAAGGAGCCGTTCAACATAAGCAGACAAAAAAGACCGCCAAAATGAAAAAAAAAATGAATTTACCTAAGAGTTTAGAAAAAAACACGACCTATTAAGTCGAAATTCACTTTTTGCGTTAACAGTCAATAAATTTCAGAAAATAGAAACTAACCAGAGTGTAAGTATTGGAAGCAGGCTAGTTTAAGCTGCGGAGGGAACATTGTTGAAGTCGGCTGGTTAATGAACACCTTGAAGTCCATTTTTCGATGCCTGTTCGCTCTGTGACGTCCCGTGTTGTCCACGAATTTGTCGGTCTCGTCTATGATCTCGGATCCTATCATCTCTTCGAACACGTCTTCCAAAGTGACCACTCCTGTGATCTCGTAGTACGGATCCATACCCGCGACGCTCACTGGCTTCTGAACTATGGCCATGTGAGAAGACCCTAAATGCAACAATAATCTCAACATGATAACCAGTGGGGATTGATCTCGTCTAAATAAAAGCATGAAATAGGCATTTAGCATTTCTTAAAATAATCGTAGTTGGTAGTAACAACTTTCGCAGAAAATATTAATTCATAGCTTCGCAAGAGCTCAACAAATCCATTCGATCAATGAAGGAAGGAAGGAAGAGTCCTCAAACATCCAGTGAAAATATTTCGCGAAAAATCATTTTACCTCTGCTTTTTCAGCAAATACAGGATTCTATTTATTTCTCGTCGTCTATACAGGACTATTTATACCTCTTGCATAAAAGCTATATTTACTCAACTTGTATCTAATTTTCTTTCTTAACTTCTCGACTATGCCTTTGAATGATTGAAAAATTAGTACATACCTGTTTTGAATTCGGCTAGCATTTGGTCCAGTGTGATTTCCTCATATGTGAACATGAGCTGATGGTTGAAGTGATCGCAGATGGCCTTGATCGGCATATTGTCCGCAGGGTCAATGAAGATCAAGTCCTTCACAAACAAAATCCCCACGATATTCCTTGTGTCACCCTCTTTCTTGTACACAGGTATTCTAGTATACCCATTTTCTGAAATCTTAGAGCGCAGTTCAAAAGTTAATTTCTCGTTGAAATCAATCATGAACACTTTCTCGATTGGCGTCATGACATCACGCACTACTTTTTCCTTCAGCTGGAAGGCACCGTCTATTATGGCCACAGTGTTCGGGTCAAAGTGTTCGTCTCCCTTCTGTTGACTGAGTTTGGCCATCTCTATGAACTTGTCTCTGTTGTTCCGCTGACCGATTTCCTCTCCGAAGAGACAATCTAGAAGCTGAAATAAAAAAAATATGACGTAAAAGTAAAAGATCAGAAATCCATGTAAGACCATTTGGAACCCAAAAAAATCAATTATTGTTGCTGGTTCCTTCGTAGTTCTCCGCATTTAAACTTCACAGATTCTAAAATTCTAAAAACAACTTCCATTTTAAAACTTCCGATGATTCTTTAAATTTCAACAAAACATCGCTCGCTGATCTTCAAGAGAGATTTAGTATGTTGTTTAAAAAAAAACATTTTCATTTTTATTTTTCAGGCTAGGGTCAAATCGCAAATGGAACTAACTTTGCTTAGAGGCCAAGAAATAACCGCAGTCAGAATCATGAAGGTCTTGGTAAGCCAAATAGTCTTAGCGCCCACCGCCAATCCATGTCTCGTGCACACAGATTGAGGAACTATTTCTCCAAACACCACAATGCCTGCAGCTGACCCGAAAACGGCTGCGAAGCCACTTCCTGTCAAATTATCCAGCAGTATTGTCGCTGTCGTATTAACGACAACATTTCCAAGAAGCAGAGTACACAGAAGAAAATTTCCGTGTTTCCTTATAGGTAAAATCTGTGATGCATACTTTTTCTCGACTTCACTTCCGACATTTTTCACCACTTGGAGCTCGTCTGGGTTCAGAGCCATCAGACCCAGATTAAGTCCACTGAATAACCCGGACAAAACCAGAAGAATGGCAACACTGGCTATTTGTAAGCCAAGCATCCACCCAGGCTTACCGTCAAACGTCACTTTAAGTCCCACGTATTTTGAATCAATGGGCCATAGTTTAAAAGTCGTAGCTTCCATCTTCTCGATGCATAGAAACCAATCACCAGGGTTTTCAAAGTACTCTTCAATTTCAAAGCTTATTTCAGTAATACTAGCCTTTGATTTCTTGGGAAGACTATCCCGTTTCCTAAAAAATCAGAAACTGCAACAATTGAAAATGACGGAGAAATTGGAACCGAACAGCTTCTGTGGGTAAACTACAAAATAAAAAAAATTCACAGAATTACATAAAAGCAGAAACATTCTAACTAATAATAGAAACCTCAAATAGCATAAGCACTTGTTCAAATACCTACCTTGTGCATGATCCATCTGCATTCTTCGTCTGGCTGAATGCTACCCTTGTATCATTGTCAAAATTGACTCCAAAAACGACCATTTTGATTTTCGTGGCAGTGACGCAGGCGAGAGACCCGCTTTCATCGATATACACCGATTCATCTGCCGGTCGCACACCAAACACCGTTGATACATTATCAGCAAGGCAGCGGCAAGTACCAAACGTAGCAACAAGTACAAGCCAATTAGTTACGAGCATTTATATTTTATAAAAGGCACTTAACTAATTGAGCACGCCCATAATTGCTAAAAGCATGACTCTGAACTGAAAATGTTGGCTCAAATTGAACAAGAGTAAAGAATACAGAAAACTGAGCAACTAATGTGAAACTATTGGGCAAAAAAATCTTCAATAAAACATCAACTCAAAAGAAAACGATTATCAAAAGCATATGAAACTGTAAAAACGCATAAATTCAACAGAGACGAAGAGGACCTCCACCCACTGGCAATATTTACAAGAAAAAACGGTAAGTTGAAACAAACTGAAAAGTTTCGAATGTCGAAAAAGTAGATCTATCAACAACAACAACAACAAAAGAAATTCAATTACCCTGTTAGGGAATAAATCAACAATGATTATAGTAATTTATATATAGTAATTTAGTTTAGGTATTCACTTGTTTTTGAGCCATGTGCTAGCATCATCAGAGTATATGTCTCGGGTTTTCACAGGTTCACAGGTTAACTTCTGATCTGTAGGCCTCCCAGGCCTGTCGACCAGCTCTTTCTTGGACGTCCAATTCGTCATTCCATAATCGATGCGTCATATATTTCAGAAGCCCATAGTTTGTCTAGTCTTGATTTGAAAACGTGTACTCTCGCTTGATATTACTGTTTCGGGTAACGAGTTCCAGTCGTTGATGGCTGCAACTGTAAAGAAATTTTGTCTAGCAGTAGTTCTGGTCTTCTTGGTCACAAACTTGAAAGGGTTTCTTCTTGTGTCTCTTTCGTTGATTGTAAAAAATCCTTCAGTCGCTGCTGTATCGTATAGACTGTTCAGAATTTTGAAGACTTCATTCATTCTACCGCGTTTGCGTCTATACTCGAGTGTTGGTAGTTTCAAAATCTGAAGTCGTTTCGAGTAGCTGTATTTGCGTATACCTGGAATAAGTTTCGTTACGCGTCGCTGAACATTTTAAATCGTAATTTTGTCTTTCTTAAGGTATGGATTCCATGCCTGATTTGCATACTCCAGATGTGTTCTTACTAACGCTTTGTACAGGGTCGTTAGAATTTCAGAGGTCAGGTTCACGAAACTTTTCCTGATTATCGCGACTATATTATCCACTTTCGTCTTTTTGGCGATGTGCTCACGGTACTGTAATCTTGAATCAACGATAACTCCCAGATCTTTCTCTGATTCAAATTTGCTCAGTCATTTGTTTACATTTCTCCTAGTACGGTCAGTCATTTCTACAGACCTCACCTAGGTACCACCACTCTTTCTGTTTGCGACTTGAAATTAATTTCTTTCCGGTTGGTATTACTAGAGTATTCAATGTTCTTAATTCCGTAAAAATATGTTTCGCGTTTTGTCTTTGGCAATAAATAATCGCCTTAATTCGCCAGGTATAACTTCTGAGCGTATTGATCAGATTCGGGACTTTTTCTGCTTTCTGTGCCAGTCGGTCATATTTGGAAGTTTGACCTTGAGAGAAGCAAAAAACACTTGATTTTGGAGTGAAATTTAATTTTTCAAAATTTCGAATGGAACCTGTCATGCACGATTTTCTCGCGAGAACTGAAAATCAGAAAAAGAGATCAGAACAATTTCAGAACAATTGAGTCGAAAACGCGGGAAAGTCGCAAGAAAAAGCAGTGGGAAATTGCTATTCGCAATTTCCATCACTATAATAATCGAGAGTAGAGCTGTCCCATCTGTGACAGAGACGAGAGCATTCCCTCGAATTGGATTATAACGACTGGAGTATTATTCGGAACTGGACTAGAGTGAACCTTCGGTGGAAAGGTGGACAGCTTGAGTGTCCTAATGGTTCACAAGAAAACTATTGTCTAGAGTATAAACTCGTTCTCATTGTTAAAACTATAAAACATTAGACTCATTTAGTCACGTTATTTAATTCTTGAGTTAGTTACCGACTGGATTATTTCCCACTTCTTGAGCGTGCTACTATGTGAGTACAAATTTAAATTCCTAGAGTGTGTTTTATGATTGTTATGTTGAGGTAAGGCGAGTTTTAGGTTGATCCATCTGAAATGGATCAAAGTTCCACTGTCTAATAAAAAGTAACTTAACGGATTGTTCCAACCCGGTTTTTAACGGCGTTCATGTATTTTGGGTATCTAGAGACCTAAGTATGGGGACGTTTCTAATTCTAGAGTGGGGGGATATTTTAGTAGTAGCCTTTAAGCTGTAACGGGTCGTAGTCTCATGTCACAAGCGAACCGAACTGGCTCCGACCGTTCTTGAGGTAGAAAAACACAAGAGATGGTGTCCCTGACCCTTGAGCCAGTGGTTATAGGGCCTATTTTTCTTAAGCCTCATGTGTGACTGCAGTAGACGAATGTTACATAGTGTTTTTATGGCGCTCCTGGGTGTTTACGACATCAAGACTACGGAGTCGAACCCACTTGAGACAGCTTCGGGCTGAAAGCCCATTCTAGAGTACCGGCGGTACGGTTCGACAGGAACGTGCAAACCTTCCGATTGTACCGTGATAGCTTTTTAAGAAAACTCGAGAAAATTTCCTGGTACGCTCTCCGAACGAGGCTTAGCTAACCGAGTAAAAGGGGGCAACTAGGGGGACAAAAACACGAGCAAAAAGACAAAAAGCAAAACAAAAACCAAAAAAGAATAGAAAAAGGAACAAAAACCATAAAACGAAAAAAGACAGTGACTTTGACACCAGATCAGTTGGATCAAACCTTTATATTAATTAAATAGTATACCCATACTGTTTTATAAGTTCGATCGTTTCGATCAACCTTGCAATTTAACCCAGTAACCGTAATAAAGTGCCCGAGTGTGGGGCGTTGTCAAGGGTTTTCAGATAGTTTGGAACTTAGCTGGACCAATAGGAGACTTCACTGGAAGAGGTGACCAGCCGAGTGGGAAAGTGGTTCAGGGACACTTGAGCTGAACCGATAGGAGACTTGACTGGAAGAGGTGACCAGCCGAGTGGGAAAGTGGTTCAGGGAAACTTGAGCTGAACCAATAGGAGACTGGACTGGAACAGGTGACCAGTCGAGTGGGAAAGAAGCCAAGAAGGATTTGGCAACTCTCGAGTTCTCAAGTTGGGCAGAACGGGTATCGTTAAAATCCACATTACATTATAGGAGATAAGCGTAAAATAGGATAAGCGACACCCCCCGGTTTTGAGGAACGTTTTTACTTGAGCAGGCCTGGAGACAGGTCTACGGTTTTCTCTTGAGAGGTTTAGCACCCGGCGCTTAAGGTAATTTTAGGCTTAAGAAGGGGGGCTAAAAAGGGAGGAGGTTAGAAGGGGGGCTGGTTAAGTTAGAGGTTGGCGGTTGTAAATTGTAAAAAGGGGGAAATTAGAGTAACTAATTAGTCGACATCGTTGACTTAGTTACATTAGAAATTAACACGCGTTGGTAATATTAGGTGGAGATCGAAATTTGAACTCGAGTTAAGGAAGGTACCCTGGTCGGATTGGTAGGGGGGAAGGGACATAGACAGTTTTTGTAATACCCCATAAGATCGCTAGCAGGGGGGAAGGAAAACGCGTGGCAATTAGGTACCAGACATTTTTTTTAGACGAAAGGTAGACATTGGTCACCTTTGAATTTCAGGTGGACTCATTTTTCTGTTTTTATTATTTTTCTTACTTAGATTTTTGTTGCATTTTAGTGAGGATTTGTGTTTGGTTTTATACGAACAGGTGATCACAAGATACCTGCGCACCTACATTGAAATAGAAACAACCAAAAAGAAGAGGGGGGTCAGCATTTGGCTTTTAAGAGAGGGTTTTTGGGAAAATTTTACTAGAGCTTGAGTGGTGGTACAAGGTACGGTGATTCAAGAAGACCCTACAACGAGGAAGACACTCCGTGACGAGTCTTGGGACAGTACCGAAGAAGTCTTGGGACAGAGCAGTCTTGGGACAATGGTCTTGGGACAGGGTCTTGGGACAGTGGTCTTGGGACAGGGTCTTGGGACAGTGGTCTTGGGACAGGGTCTTGGGACAGTGGTCTTGGGACAGTGGTCATGGGACAGTGGTCTTGGGACAGGGTCTTGGGACAGTGGTCTTGGGACGGGGTCTTGGGACAGTGGTCTTGGGACAAGGGTCTTGGGACAGGGTCTTGGGACAGGGTCTTGGGACAGTGGTCTTGGGACAGGGTCTTGGGACAGGGGTCTTGGGACAGTGGTCTTGGGACAGGGTCTTGGGACAGTGGTCTTGGGACAGGGTCTTGGGACAGTGGTCTTGGGACAGTGGTCTTGGGACAAGGGTCTTGGGACACTAGTCTTGGGACACTAGCCTTGGGACACTGGTCTTGGGACACTGGTCTTGGGACAGTAGTCTTGGGACACTAGCCTTGGGACAGTAGTCTTGGGACACCAGCCTTGGGACACTGGTCTTGGGACACTACCCTTGGGACACTAGTCTTGGGACAGTAGTCTTGGGACACTAGCCTTGGGACACTAGTCTTGGGACACTAGCCTTGGGACACTGGTCTTGGGACACTACCCTTGGGACACTAGTCTTGGGACAGTAGTCTTGGGACAGTAGCCTTGGGACACTAGTCTTGGGACAGTAGTCTTGGTACAAGGGTCTTAGGACACTAGCGGAGAGTACTGTGATAGTGACGAATAGTCTTGGGACGGTATAAAAATTGAAGTAGAATCACAACAAGTGTGTCTTAAGACAGAATAAGACAAATCGAAATAGGTACGGTTAAGACCAAATTAAGGAAAGTTTTTCGGAGGTTTTAGAAAGAGAATTGGATAAGGTTTTTAACACGTTGTACAGAATTTGTTACAAAAAAAAAAAATATATTTTTTTTACCCTTAGAATAGAATCGTGTATATAATAAAATTGTAAATAGGAGCAGTTGTAAATAGAAATAATGAGGCGGAGTAGGGTACCGGTGCTCGAAAAAAGGTCAAGTGGATCAAACACGAAATATAATTCATCGCTGCGCGGAACGACATCAACGGGCCCAAAGATAACGAAGACGAACTTTTCAGTTAACATGGTCAGCACAAGGAGTACAGCGGAGAACAGGGAGAAAGAGGGCATGGAAGGGGAGCGAGTAGAACCCACCATCGAGATTGA